AATTGATTAATCGAAAATAATCGATTAATCGAAAATAATTGATTAATCGAAAATAATCGAAAATAATCGATTAATCGAAAATAATCGATTAATCGATTAATTGAAAATAATCGATTAATCGAAAAATATCGATTTTTCAAAACAAAATAATCGACTAATCGATTATTATTCGATTAATCGATTATTTTGCCAACCCCTACTTACATTTTGTCTTTAAAACACTAAACTAATCTCTTTTGATTACTTAGAGCTCGCCCATAATGTTTAATGAATTTAAATGTTCTTTCTTTCTCAATTTTCCGTTACTTTTCAAAGCTTACCGCGTTTTCCCGAGGCAAGAAAAGAAAAGAAACTCTTCGCGAAGTTTATCCGGACTGCAGACTTAAACTCAAATGAACTGTAGACTTAAGCCTAAACTGATCCTCCACTTCTAAAACCGCCTGTATTTATATTATTCAATCCCCCCAAAATTCCTTTGTCCATCATTCATTAACCTTCCTTTTTTATTTGTTTAAAATCGAATAATTATGTCGCAATTTCCTGGTTTAGCGGGGTCAACAGATTTGGTTGTGAGAATGTGAGCACAACTCAAAGAAAACCGAAAACACGTGCGGGCCATAAATCACCTATTTAATTACTTTGGCCTCGCTTTTAATATTTTTATGAATTTGATTTAGGTGATGACATCACGCTTGGTGACTAAATAATAAAAATTGAACGTATATAGATATTTTATTTAATTTGGGGTCGAAGTTAATTTGTTTCATTTTCAATTTATTGATACCTGTAATTATATACAGGAAATTCAGTTTTTGATTATCTGATTACATTTAATTTTTACAGTTACGACATTGTAAATTACCGAGTAAATTACGGGTCTATTTTTATCGGGTCATTACAATTTTTTTAAAAAAAATGTCACTTCATCATAGCCACTTTTTCTCCCCTACAAGATGCTAGCTTCAAATTTATAATCTGACGTTTCATCTTTGAGCCACCATCATCAACTTCATTTTTTTAAATATGGACCCTTATTTTTTATTTCAGATTTTATGAGCTTCTGATGTCCCAAAACCAATGACGTATTGCACTTATTCGAAAAATTGATATTATTGGCACTTTCCATAACCGAAGGGAAGAGAATTTCGGTAGGAAATTACTAAACAGTGGACGAAATATATTTCCGAATAAATGCGATACGTCATAGGTTTTGGGACATCAGAAGCTCTTAAAATCTGACATGAAAAATCCAGGATCGTATTTAAAAAAATGAAGTTGATGATGGTTGACCAAAGAAGAAACGTCGGAGTTTAAATTTGATGGTAGCCCCTAGTAGAAGAGAAAAAGTGACAATGATAAAGTGACATTTATTTTGGGATATCTCTTCAAATAAAGTCAGGAAAAAATAAAAACCATTTTTAAAAATTTCGTTTTTTTCCGGATATCTCCGGAAGTAGTCGGAATATCCTAAATATCAAAGCGGCATTTTGTTAAGCATCAAATTACGCAACTTTGCCCTAATTCAACCAACCCTGTATCTCTCGCCGTTTCCGAGATCCCAATGTTGTTTCAAACACCCTGTACAGATGACATGCTCAGTAAATATAAATAAAATAATGTTATCCAAGTAACGGTGTATTCCACATACATTCCTTACTACGCTGTATATCCTGTAGCTTGGTAAATAATGTAGTCCAATTGACGGCGTACTGCGCATCCATTGCTTAATACAGCACTGTATAAAATTTCTAGAAGCGGCTTGTTGAGTTCCAGAGCGGTTTTGCTGCTTGAATAACTCAATAATATAATCATACGACGACGCCGTATAAACTTTCATCGTCCGTTAGCTTAGTTATTAACGATCAGCTGAGCAGTAGCAGTGTTCATGTTCATATGCGATATGCCGCGCCATGTCGGAACACTTTCAGGGACCCGTTTTTTTTTTTTTTTTTTTTTTTTGCAGAAAATAAGCAGGCTTTCCGATACCTACTGAATTTATTCCATTTAAAAATTCCACCTTTAATTCTATTTGAATTTTCGGAATTTCACTATTTAATTTCTATATTAGTAGTACAGGGTGATTTGCGTAGCCCGTGCATTAGCTTGTAGGTATATTAGATGCTATTTCTACTAGCATATTCACGGATCCTAAACGGTATAGCATATAGCTGTAATTCGGTGTCCTGATTGGTCGGTTCGAGGTCGAGATGAAAGTAAAGTTAACCTCACTTCTTCACTTTTGTTTTTGTTTGTTTTGTTATTAAACTTTGGATTTTGTTCCAAAGATGCCCGTTTGGAAGTTACGAGAGATTATTGTTTGAAAATATTACATATTATTTATTTATTATTTGTGTTGGATTTTAACTCTTAACTATTATTGGCCAGACCAGGCCTATAATATCTATGAATTTTCAAAGCTGAATTAATTGTTGGACCATCTGTCCGGATAAAATCCGTTTCCAAACAAGAAGATTGTGTTGTAAGTCCACATTATGTAACGATATTTTTTGTTACATTTATAGGTATTACAGAAATGCCTTGATGAATTTGGTGAAGAATAATTAGTTACCTGGAAAATACTAGCTACCTACATTTCCAAGACGTCGTGCTATAAATCAGTTCAGTTTGGTCAATATGGAGATGCCAACGTACCCCAAATTAAAAACTCATCAAAGTTTTATATTGTGTTTTACAGCATAATAAAAGTTTGTTACATTTCCAGGGTCCTTTAAAAAACTATTAGTAGGTATTGGAACATATTGATTAAAATAAAATAACAGTGATAATAGGTTAGTGGCTATAATCCAATGCTATAATCCTTGTGTTTCAGTGTTTCACGATATGTTTGTATTAATAATCAAAATGTGTTCGTACCAATAATGGGAAGTATCGTTGAAATTTATTTAGAAATAAATTGCATATTTTGGAAAAAAGGAATTACTTTTTTTTCGTGTGACATCCACCTGATAACACTCAACACTCACCGAGTTCAACAGTAGAATACTTACTTTATTAACCGCCAATTTCATAATCAACTTGAAGCGAACTTTAAATTCAAGGTTATTATTTTTGTTGTTGAAAATCAAACAGGTTATCAACTTTTAAGGGAGCTTTAAATTTAAAGTTTACTTCAAGTTGATTATGAAATTGGCCGTAAAACAGGCTTCATCCATCCCATTATTTTAATATCAATTATTTACTTAATATAAAGTCTGGAAGAAATGCAGGAATATATAACTGGATACACTAAACTTTTATTCCAACAAAAAAAAACTAAAAACGTTTATTAAGTACACTTAAAAAAAACAATTAGAATGTACAAAATTAACATAAACTTAATGTAGGTAAGTACAGGGATTAGAATTTAGTAGCCCGATAATAACATAATCTATTAATCTAAGGTACAAGTTTATTCATTTGCACACACCTTGTGAGATTGTGCGGTATTTTTTTCTTCCTTGATGGAACAGAACTGAAACTGGTGTAGTCATGCCCAAGGCGTTTTAAAGGGTTGGAGATACCAACAGGTCTTCCGCCCTTTCTTGCTCGTTTTCCTCCAAGGGTCCCTTGTGTTCTTCTACCAACTGACGTTGGCTGGACTCCAATTTTAGATTGATGCCTAATGCCTTTTTTATTCTGTTGATGTGCACTTTTCAGACCAGAATATTTGCCAAAAGTATGCATAGCACTAATTAGAGCACTGTCGGTTTTGACATATTTTTCTGTGTTCTCTACCATTTTTTTTAGGGCTGGTGAAAATGTTCCAACATTTTCAGCAATGCCATTTTTTATTCTCTCTACCAGCAAGTCCAGTTTTTTTAAATTGTCTTCAATGTTGTTGTTTCCATCCATCTCAATATTAGAAGTAACATTCAGAGGATCCATTATTGTTTCATCTGTTTTGCCGCTTTCCCCCTCTGTTTTTTCATCTTGAGCAGGAGCATTTTTTTCAAAACCACAATTCAACTCCGCTAGCCATTCTCTAGAAACTTCCTTCCCTGTAGCTACTTTGAAAAGAATACTTCTGGAATCGACAGAACATGTGAAATAAGTTTCATTTATTTTGAAATGATTTAGTACTAAGGAAATATGCTTGCACAGTTGGCCAGTTGATCCAACAGTACAACTGCAAAATCCATCTTCTGCATTTACTACATAAGTTGCGTCGGCAGTAGTCTCTGATGGAACCAAGTATGTTCCATCATTATTTAGTTTTACTTCATTGACATTAATAGTACTCTTTATGCAGATATATTTTTTTAAAGCAGATTTCAAGTACCTTCCGTTGGAATATTCTATGCAACGACGTTGCATGTAAGATTCGTATTTACTTAAAATAAAATCTGTCAATTGCACAATATTATATGACTTGGTTCGGTCAAGTATTATATCCTTTAGTATCCTGAAAACAACTTCAACGTAATTATTAGTATTATTTCTCCTCTTATTGGTAGATTACTTCTGTATGCAGACATCCACAGATCTCTTATAGGCCACTTATGATTTGAAATATATTTCACAAAGTTTGAAAATGGGCAGTTCTCCAATAAAAAATTGTAAATTTGTTCTGCATTTATTATATCCTTTTCATACATAATCTTTTTAAATGTATAGTATAGTTCTTGCCTTTTTTCTTTATTTGAAATATTTTTTAAAATCCACTTTCAAACAGAATTCAGGACATGGAATTGGCATAATAATATTGTTGAATTTGGAAACATTTTTTTTAAAGGTTTTCTTTCCTTTAAATCATCATCAGTCATTATGACATCAGGTGCCAGTTTACCAAAAAAGGCTTTCTCAGGAAAGCACTGATATAGGTTTTGTAAACATACAGAGAAAAGTTCAGTTTCTTCTGAATCTGTTATGATAGCTCCCAAAGGAAGAGCACCAGCTGGTGTGGGGGTCATGAAGAAATAAACCCTACTGTTATGTCTATCCATCCCACCTGCTGCATCGACAAAAATCATTTCCCCACTTTGAGGTACATACCGATGTACTCTTGCCATAATTGGTGTACATAATGCAACATATTTATGGTTGTTATGTAATCCAAAAATTGCCTTGCCATCAGAATCATTTTCATTAAATTCGTTTATCAATTTTTTTAAAATTTCTAAATTATCCTCTGATTTCGAGCCATATTGTTTATTATACTCATTATTCAAGAAATGTTGAATTTTAGACAATGATGGTAAATATTTTCCATCTGCAGAATTCACATGATAATTTTCTACATCATTAATAAACAATTCCAATTTTAGCGCTTCTCTAGCAGAAGATGCGCTGTGTCCGCAATGAAATAGTCCGAGTAACTTTTCTTTGACTTCATTGCTGACGGGTCTGTGCACTAAAGCAGAAGCTGCTTCTAGAGGGTGGTTATGTGATGGTTGTAGTTCTACGAAGAAAGGCCAGTCTTTATTCAAATGATATTCTGGATCCTTACTTCTAGATCCTTTCAAATATCTGGAATAAGAAAATTCAAGATACTTAGGGTATCCCATACACTACACTATACTACTATAATAATATGTTTTTTGTTTACATGTAAGTGCAGTCAATAGATAGGTACTACAATCCAGTGTGTTCAAGATAAGGAAGGGATAGCATTAAGATATGGAAAACGGTGAGAAATACAGGTTAAATTAGAAAAAAAGTTGCCAATTTTTATGCTCAACACTCAACAGTAGGTATGTTCCTAGTGATTCCGAAAGTATCCGGAAAAATCCACAATTTGCAAAATCTAATTCACTCCTAAAGAAGGACAAAAATATCATTCAAGAGCCTGGAATAGAGAAAAATTGAGGCAAGAGTTATACTTTTTTTATTCCTGGCTCTTGAGCTGAAAACTAGAGAAAACAAAACAAATTAAGAAGAATTTAAGAAAAAAACTCTTAATAAAGCTAGGAAAAAATTGTTAAGATTTTGCAAAATTTGATTTTTCCAAATATCTCCGGAGTTACTAGGAATTTCAACTTTCTGAACAGCATAGTACTGCTGAACATAAAACTGTGCAACTTTTTCCACATTCAACTGAGCCACTGAACCCGTATTTCCTACATTTTCCTATATCCTAATGATATCCCTTCCTTATCACTGTATAGATAAAATGAATAATTAGTTATTACCTCGGTTATTACTGACCTTTTCAAAAATAGTGTCACTTTGGCCTGGCATTCAGTATGCTTGGAATTGGAATTATGCATTTTTATTTTGGGGTAAACATTATGTTGGCATCTCCAAACTGATTTATAGGAATTTACCCGACCTGCTCTTGGAAATGTAGTTAGTATTTTCCAGGTAACCAATTGTTCATCACCAAATTCATTAAGCCATTTCTGTAATATAAATGTTGCCAAAAATCATTGTTACATTTCTTGAAAATAAAAATGTGGACTTACAACACAATCTTCTTCATTGAAAACGGATTTAATCCGGAAAGATGTTCTTCCATTTAATTCAGCTTTAAAATAGCTATATTCATAGTTTCTAGGTAAAGACAATAATTTCTCCATAATGATCAGGACAATAATAGTTAAAATCCAGCACAAATGAACAAAATAAAATCCATAGCCAAAGTTTAAAAACAAAACAAAGGTGAAGAAGTGGGGTTAACTTCTCTCTCAGCTTGATCTTGAACCGACCAATCAGGATACGGAATTACAACTTCATTGCTATACCGTTTAGGATCTGTGAATATGCTTTCTACTAATCCACCTGCAAACTGCACATGTTCTCATGCACGGGCTACGTAAAACACGGTGTATATTATATAATAAGTGTAGTAACTAGGTTACCGCACGTGAAAGAAATTTGCAAACCGAAACGATTAAGCGAGGTTTGCAATCTCTAAGAGCGGTAATAACAAACTATATATTTGTAAAATGTTTCATATTTTGTTTATTTATCTATGTTACAAGGCTATATTACATGTTATGTTAAATTTTGGAATGGATGCTATGAATAAAAACTAAGTATCTGCTACTGCTACAAATATAAGTATATTCTTCTTTAAAACAAACTAGATACTACATTTCGAAACTACCGGAATACCGGTAATTAGTAAATCCCTCCTTATAAAATAAATAGTAAATACTGCGTATAATATACCTACTAATACTTTGTAGTAGTAGTAGGTACTTCGTTTTTATCCATGAATGAATGGTATGAATAAAAACGAAGAATCTGCTTCTACTACAAGCATTAGTATATTCTCCGTACTATTTACTTTAAAACGAAGTAGATGCTACATTTCGAAACTACCGGAAACTAGTAAATTCTTCTTTTTGAACTGAATACTGTGTAGTACATACTAATATGTACTTGTAGTAGTAGTAGGTACTTCGATTTTATTGGTACCCGTACCACCCATTTATTAGTATATTTTCCGTAGTATTTACTTTGAAATGAAGTAGATACGACACTACTGGTAATTAATAAATCCTTCTCTGTAAAGTAAATACTGCTTAGAATATACTAATACTTGTAGATTCAAGTAGCTTAAGTCGTTTTTTTAGGCTCACACCCCCTTTAACTACATAATATTTTATTTCTTTTTAAATATTTCAATTATTTTATTTTCATGTAAATATATGTTTTTTTTGTTTACTTGCGTTTAGACCATGTACATATTTGTAAAATGTTTTATTTTTTTTCTTATGTTTTAACAGGTGTTTGGGATATAGTATTTTACATTGTTACGATAATTTATTGGTTACTCATTTGTAAAAGATATACTTAAGGACAAATAAAAAATTAATAAATAACAAAATTTTAAAATGTATGTTTTTTCCTTAATTTTTTTCTCTTACACAAGCCTTAGTAGTTGGTATAGCTATGAGAAAGAAACGTTGGTAAGTTGTTGCTTCTAGTTATAAATAAGTGTCCTGACAGATTTCCATTTTGCATTTTTTTTCTAGAAATGAATGTGCTAGAAGATTTATGAATGAAGCGCAGTCATATAGCTAACAGTTTATTACCAAAAAAGTCTTCCAGAAGTTACCTACAAGCGAAATTATTCTTGTGAAAAAATTGATTTTTTAAAAATAAATAATTCTACTGACTTGAACGCTTTTTTTTATTTTGACTTTGATGATGAAATAGAATTCCATATTAAGTTTTCTATTCAATTTTTCATTCAACCAATTCCTTAACTCCTTTCCTGGTATGCTTGTGTGTTTGAAGTTTCACTTCAGTAGCGTGTTGTATATTAACACGTTTTTTTTTTTAGAATAATGCCGGAAGAGAGTATTCTAAATCAAATAAAATCAGTTTGCAACCAAGAAGCTTTAATCACTGAATATGCCTATAAAGATAGCAATAAGTATTTTGCTAAGATCCGCACCAAAATGGAAAAAGAGGTGGGACATAGTAAATGGTGTGACGATTGGATAAAAAAGTTTAGCTCCGCTAGCGCGACGGAGTGGATTGTAAGATACACGTATCCATCAGCTAAAAAATACCTATACCGTAAAGTGTTTAAATGCCAGCACAATAGTTTTGATAAAGTAAAAAAAAGAAAAAGGAGTGATTTGCGCGTACGTGATAAAGGATGCGATGCTACCGTTAACATTTTAATGAAGAAAATTAATCCAGATACCATAAAAAACGATCCTTATTTAAAGAAAAAGTTGAACATTGTTATTACGGTAAATAAGTTTTATTTTTATATCTTTATCAAGCACGTTCACTATAAAGGCTCTTGACAACAGTAATAGTACCTATGTCCTCTATTGTTCATGCCTGCCGTATTATGATTTCATAATGCACAGGTATGGATTTTATATTTGGTCGTACCTATATGTGTGTGTTTAATCTTGCTATTTCATATTTTTCAGGTTAATTTCGATCACAGTCATAACGTTATGGTTGCTGAAGCCTTCAGTTATTTACGTATGACATTAGATACACAGAAGATATTTCTTAAATATTTTGAGGACGGTATGACTCCTACGGCGGCTAGAACATACCATAAAATGCTTCTTGAATCTCAGTATGATGGACCTGATTTTTTTTTGTATTTAACCAATGCGCAAGTTAATCCAACCTGGAGACAAGTCAAGCATTTATATGATAAATGGAGGTAAAACAATAATCACTGTGTATTTTAGTCATAATAAATAGTATACAGAGTCGTAGCCAAACCTTTGAACCTAGGGAAAAAAAAAATTGAATAAAAGTTTTAAAGTGAATTATTAATCCATCAGCCGATAACGAGTTTTAAAAAAAAAAAATTACAAAGGTTAAAAATAAGAAATATAAGTATAATTCAACTGACTTACTATTCTAGGCGAGCAGCGATATTTATATTATAAAAGAGCGAATTAAGCAGATTATGTGTATAGTCAGCAAATAGGGATTACTTCTCCCTTCTTAGGATGAAACTTCATGCTAGGCGGGGAAGTTGGATTGGTTGCGCTTCTCCTTCAGGATGGTTGTCCCTTGTTCGGCTCTTGAACTTCGGTGCTAGTTTCTTATAGGCAAGAACAACACACCTAGCAAGGATCATAGCATAAATAAGAATGGTTCCCAAACTGAGTAGTCTTCTGATTTCACTAAATGTCAAACGATCTCGTTAGCTAGTTGGTGGAGATTATTCAATTTTATGTTTTTCAAGTGTGTACCTAAATTTAGGGAATGCATTAATTCAGGTACATTTGGAAGGTCGGGAAATAGTATAGGCTGGGCATCGGATTCCAGAAGCTTCCTTTTTGTCTCGAAGAGATAGTTATTTGGCAACTGATTGGTATATGGACTAGAAAGAAAGGTTCCAATAACTTTTCTGATTTCTTCTTGTCCAAGGCACTTGAGTTTGATAGGTATTTTAGCTAGAAGAGACTTTGCTAGAAGGACGAATACCCATTGATTGGATTTGTCCAATCGATTTATTATTGGTTGTGTGATTTTGACTTCGGTTGGCTTGCAAGTAGAAGTGTCCATTTCAGAGTTCAGTAGCTCTATTTCACATGGGCTGCTGTCTTGAAGTTCTTGGAATTCTCCTTTTTCGCACAGGTGAAAATGAGTGGAAAGACTACTTTGAACTGACTCTGACTTCTGACTGGTATTGAATATAGGTGGAAATAATCGAAAGATTCAGGGTACATTATACCTAGGTATTGTCCAACGATTTTAATCTGATACTCGGATGGAATGTGAGCTGGTGGCTCTCTACATTAGAACGCCAATGGTTACCTGACGTCACACATGTTGTTGCCATATGAAACACCCCCTCACTCCTCATACGGAAAGTGTCAGTTAAGAATCGATGAGCAATATGTGGCCCAAATAAGTTATTTTATTTCACTGGGATAATTCCAAGATTATCTTCAAATTTTCTCCTACAGATTTTCACTTGGTTTGATTTCCCACGATTTTCATTGATTTTGCTAATTATTTTATTTTTTGTATCCATAAGACGCTCGTTTATGTTAGACTATAAAAGTTTTATTTTATTTTGGCAATTGGCGTTTTGAGGAATCCTTTATTGCTAAAAGTTCTTATGTGCTCAGATAAGGTTGAGTGAGATCTTTCAATCACGCCGTTCGATTGAGGGTGTTCAGGAGAACAAAAATTTATTTTTACTTTGTGAAGTAATTCAGTAAGAACATTATTTTTGAACTCGGTTCCATTGTCTGTGCTTATTTTCGATGGAATGCCATGATGAGAAAAGAAGGATATGAGATTATCACATATTTCGGTAGCGGATAAAGATGTGAGGGCATAAGCTTGGGCATATTTAGAAAAACTGTCTGATATCGTGAGAAATTTAACTTAATCCAGAGTGTATGTATCAAGGTGGACGATGTCAAATAGTTTGGTGGCAGAAGGCGTGATGTTCATTTCCATATTTATTGGGTTGCGTTCGTGATTGAATGGATTCTTTTAAGTTGGGCCAATAATATTTTTCCTTGATTCGTCGCTCGGTTTTATCAATTCCTCGGTGATTTGTTTTGCTCTCATGGTAATTTTAAATTCCTTCTGCTATTTCTATTTTGTTGACGACAACAAATAACTTTATCAGGCATCTTTCAAATTTAACTGAAGGCCATTTAAAGTTTTTTCTTACTATTTCGTATTTGGATTTTCGAAATAAATGGAATATAACTCAAAATTATTTTCGGATAGTTGGACTAGAAATCTCCTGTCTTCTCGACTAATATCAAGCGTTTTGTATAACACTTGTATAATCACTTGATTAGCCCCATAATTAACTGCTGATTCTATAATAGGGACTCCTATACTCTCTACTCCTATGATCTTGTTCATTATTTGTATGTACTATATACGGTTTCGTTGTCGTCTGTCAGAGGCTGGTGGAATAACGTCGGGTTGTGCCATTGTTGAAATTAGTTCTAAAGTTATCTTCGTTGGGAATAGGCCCCTTGCATCAGATTTTTTTATTGCTGATTTCGATATTCCATGAAAAATAAGTCAACACGTGTTTTTTCTTTTTCTTGTTAGTCAAAAATTGACGGAGATACAACGCTTTGAAATGTCCTTCCGACGTCATAACTTA